TACAATGCATGTATGATGACATCCCACCCAAAGAATTTGAAGATTACCTTGATGGGACCCAAGCAATGGATAAGACATACAAGAATGGCAAGGTTTGGAGAGATTGTGAATTTGGAAGCATTAAACTGGAGCCATGGTTGATTTTTGCAGACAAAGAGTCATTCTATGAAGTGTTTAAGGATTTTTGTGTACAAGAAGGTTTTGAAGTTTTTGTTGAAAAGAGTGACCCTACCAGGTTTATAGCAAGATTTGCTATAGATGGTTGCAACTGGAGAATCCATGCATCAAGCATGGCTGACAAAGTGAGCTGGGCAATCAAGACTTTGACAGGGGAGCATGCAACTTGTGGCAGGCTTGAGATAAATCCAATTGTTGGTTGTGATTGGCTTTGTAGACATCTGCAATCAGATATTTAAGCCAATCCAGATATCCCAGTTGAGTCTCTGCAAAGAATCTGTATGGAAAGGTACATAATTCAAGTGAAGAAAAGGTTATTTTACAAGGTGAAAGCAATTGCCAAGGAGCTCATTCATGGTGGATTTGGAGAGGCCTACAGTCTCCTTCCAAGATATGCTAAGATGGTCAAGCAGACCAATCCAGGGAGTTATGCACTAGTGACATGGACACAAGTTTGTGCAAATGTCCAACCTAGGTACAAAGCATGCTTCTTTTCTTTTGCTGCACATGTTAGAGGTTTTTTGAGAGGCTGTAGGCCAATCATTGGCATTGATGGAGCCCATCTTAGTGGATATTATAAAGGGATACTGCTAACAGCTGTTGGAATTGATGGGAACAATGAGATATTTGTGTTTGCTTATGGCATAGTCAGTATAGAGAGTGTTAAGACTTGGGGTTATTTTATGAGGAATTTAAAGTGCCTCTTTGAGAAAGAGGGATGCAACAGAGATGATTGACATTTCTTTCTGACAGGATGAAGGTAAATCAATCTCTTTAGCATACACTTGTTTTTTTTTTATTACTTTACAGTTGTGTTTCCTCACTTGTAATATGGTTTTGCAGGGAGTTGATGCAGCAATTATGGAGACATTTCCCAGAGCTAGTAGAAGAATATGATGTCAACACTTGTACAGCAACTGCAAAACAAAAGGCTTTAGTGGAACAACATTTCACAAACTGTTTTGGGTAGCTGCTGATGCTTACAATCCATATGTTTTCAACAAAGCAATGGAGAAGATTCATGCCTACAATCCAGATGTTGTTCTGTATTTGGAGAGTACCACTGAAGTTTGGTCAAAGCATCAGTTTGACCCAGTTGTCTGTTGTGACCATAACACAACAAATTTTGTTGAATAATTCAACTCTTGCACCAAGCCATACAGAGATCTACCTGTGTTAAAGCTTCTTGAAGGTTAAACAAGCATTTTCTCATGTTTTATCACTTTGCAAATGCCATTTCAACCTAGTTTAATTTTGTAACTGGTTTTAATTTTGCAGCTATAAGGCAATGGTGCATGAAAAAGATGGCTCCAAGGTTTGATAAAGCAACTTCAATGGGGGATGGGGAACTCATTGAGTATGCAACAAAGATCTTGCAAACAAGATCAGATGAGTTCAGGTTCTTCTATGCTACACCATGTGGGGGTGATGAGTTTGAGGTGAGAGATGCACATGTGTACTATCCCATCAAACTAGGGGCGGAACTTGTGGTTGTGGGAAGTGGCAACATTCAGGGATCCCATGTAAGCATGTGCTCAGGGTGATTTACCACCAAAGGCTGCAAGCTACAGATTTTGTATCACCTTATTTCAAAGGGAGGGCATACAAAAACACTTATGGAGAGCATATGCACCCAATGCCTGACCAAACTCAATGGCCTTCATTCAACCTCCCTGACATACTACCACCCTTAGTGAAAAGATCAGCAGGTAGACCCAAGAAACAGAGAAGAGGAGGGGAAAATGAAGCAAGAAAGGGAAAGAGACATAGTTCAGTCAAGTGCAGCCTATGCAAAGAATTGGGCCACAACATGAAGACATGTGCAACAAAGAAAAAGAGTACAACAGTTGAAGTAGCAAGTGCAGCAAACAACAACACTGAGCAGCCTGAAGCAACAACTGCGGCAATCAACAACAATGCAGAGGCTGAAGCAAGCACTTCAAAGACCAAGAAGAGATCAAAGAAAGCTGCATAAACTCCACAACCCTGCCCTTTTGAATGCACATCATATTTGTTAATGAAATCCTAATTTTTGAACATTAATATTCCACTGTGTGCTGTATCTAAGTGTTTTGTTTTTTGGGAAAAATTCTGAATTATGTCAGCAAGGGCATTTTATTTTGAGATGAACAGAAAACAGTAGCCATAATTTTTTGGATGAACATGATTGCAACTTATCATATTATACTAGAAATGTTTAAATTAACACTTTATTTACTTTCATTGCAATTACATTGTTGTTCACTTCATCATTACAATCACAACTATTACACACATAACAACTCCTACTTTCATAATAGAATTGAGAACTTTTTGTTGCTGCCTCACTTTCTTCTTCAATTGCTTCAATTCATCATACACATCGCTATGTCCCGATCCATCCCTATCATAACAATTTCCCCTACTTTGAGCTTCTTCCGGCTTGAGGACTTTACACCATTTGAAACTATTACACGAGTCGCACTTGTAATAAAGCCTTTGAGGATTTGATGTTGACTCCGAACTTCTAATTGCGTATTTCCGACCACAACCGCAAAACTTGTTTGGAACTCTTACATATGCATACTCGTATGTGGAGGAGGATGTGTTTGATAACAAACTCATGATTATGCATGTAGAGGGATGCAATGTGTGTTCTAAGTCTCATATTTATACAACAAAGTGGGTGCATCGGCTATTTTACCCCAACAATATTTCAAAAATGTTCAAATAAACTAGCCGTTAGTACTCATTTGATTAGAGGGTTACTGTGAAATAATTTACAAAAGTAATGGCATTTCATGCAAAATAATAATTTGTAAATGGCATTTTGTGAATTAAGAATCCTAGTAACGGACTGTTAATGTTCAGACCTCATTAATGGCACGACATGACATTTTACTGTTTGTGAGTGGCATTTGGTGAATTCTAAAAAGTGCGATGGCATTTGATGAATTTTTAAATTTGTCAGTGGCATTTGGTGAAATAGCCGTAAAAAATAATTTCAATTCAGCAAAAAACCAAAGTGATGTGAATAGAGCCTAATCGAAAATTGAAAATAGACGATAGAGCACATGGTTTGGAGGTGAGGCTTTTTCCATATTTGGTGGGGATGTGAATGACTAATGAAGATGCTAATGTTGCACGTGGAAATTTTTTCCATGGCCCGTAAGTCGTAACAACCAACCCTGACAAGGAGTGACAATGATAATTCTTGATATGGTACACATTACACTAGTGTAAGATTAGTCTTTTAAAGTTAAACTAGCCTTTTGGCCCGTGCAATGCACAGGTTGTTCATAAAAAATTGCATTGAGAGATAAGTGAGGAAATACCAATAAATAATTATGAGTGTAATATGTAAATGAAAACATAATTAAAGAAATAAAAATTTTGGGACTTTAATTTGAAATGAGACTTAATAGAAAGAAGATGGAGGGACTAAAATCAAAGAGAGAAAATAAAAAGGTTGAATTAAAGAGGGGAGATGAAGATGAAGTGTTTAATGAAAGAGTTAAGAAAAATTGTATAATTAAAAATAAAAAATGTAAAACGACATGTGGCACATTGAGTTGAAGAAGAAGATAGAGAAGTGTAATAGAATGATGACATGTCTTTTTTGGTTTTCTTTTTTAAATACTAAGTATAGATATAGATTTGTAGTAAAACGGTCAATTTGAAGATAAGTTTAAGTATTTTTATGATACTTTAACCCTTATAAAATGACTTTTTAATTTTTCTTTGATTTAAATTTTATTTTGATGTGTAATTTCTTATATATTCATGATTATATACTATAAAAAAATAATTAATTCAATACATTATAAGTTTTGTTTTTTAAATAAAATTTATTATTAGGAAAATAATATCTTTTGTAGCATAATGGTAACTTTAAATATTTTGAAGATAATTTTAACTCGCCTTTTTGGATAATTAGTGAATACTCTTATCAAGGTGTAAAAATGAACAATTTACAAAGGTAAATTCCATTTATTTTTCTTGATTATTGCAGCAAGTTATAAAGGGGCATACTAAAAATTGATAGAATATAAAACATATTCTTAGACCTCAACCATTAGATTATTTTTTTGATTAAGATGGTTTTTTAATATGGTGTTAGAGGCCTTAGAGCTAATGTGACACAAAGGTCACGACTTCATATCTCATCCACTCCCCACGAAAAATGATGTATTATTTGTTGCATGTTATTTCATTCATATACAGTCTTTTCAATTACTTATGAAGAAGTAGTATAAAAAATGATACTCTATCACCTATTTGATTCCATATACTTCGTATATCAATGATTATAATCATGATTTTTACCATAATACCTATTATTTGAAAAGTAAATCATTTTTGAATAAAAATTGTTTTTTCTTTCCAATATTAACATTGAATCATGAGGCTATTTGTAAGTTAATATCAAACTATTTCATCATCAAAGTGATTTCTATTGATCAATGTTTATAGCATTACGATCCTAACCTGATTAGGTAACCATCAAAATAAGCAAACATATCATAAAAATATTTTTATACACAATATATCCTAAATTTAGAAGGAGAATATTATGTATTTATTCTTTACCAGTATTGTTATGAATTGAACATTGATATATTGCGTAACATACTACGCTACTAGCATTGCATACATATCAACAAATAACAAATGACATTGAATGTTGCGTTGAAAAATGTATAAAATTTATTTAAGAAAACAAATCAGTTACACTATTGATATATAAAAATTTAGTTCCCACTAATATTGATGTTATATTTAAAACAACATATAAGATCGAAGGGAATACCATACACTTGCAACCATAACAGAATGAACACGATTCATTTCCTTAATATATGCACAAAGAATCCCATAAAAATGATTAAATACTTAAACTAATCCAATCCAATTCAATCCAATCCAAGTCGTGGATATAAACCAAACACCTCATTACATTACATGCTCAATTTAAATTGCATATAAATAACACACTACTTGTACATGCCAATTTTTAGCACCCACAAAATCATTGAAATAAAAAAACACCCTCAAATTTCCCATCTTTCTCTCTCAAAAATCAAAATCAAATCGTTTGTTTGTTTGGAATGGCATTAGCAACAAGCACAGCAACACTTTCAACCAGAACTTCTTCATCAATTCTCCCAAAACCCTACCATTCTACCTCAATCTCAAATTCATCCTTCAATCTCTCTTTTCAATCGCAATCAAAAACCGTAAAATTATCCCCAAATCGTCGTTCAATTTGCTGTGTTATGGCCCCTGATTTGGCTTCCAAAGCGGCGGCGGATGATGAGACTGATTTGGGCGTTTTTCAACGACCCGATTCATTTGGAAGGTTCGGGAAATTTGGGGGAAAGTATGTGCCAGAAACCCTTATGTATGCTCTTACTGAGCTTGAATCCGCTTTCCGCGCTCTATCCAGTGATGATGAATTTCAGGTTTATTTTAAAAAAAAATTTCTCTGTTTTTTAATTGTTATTTTTGGTGGATTTGATTGGATTGAATATGATTTTTCCATTGTTTTGTTAATGTTCAAGGATTTAACCCCCAAAAATGTTGATGAATTTGATGTTGGGTTTGTTTAATGTCTTGGATAAATTTTCATTTACAACCTTTTGAATTATTGATTCTGGAAATCACAGCATTTTCAAAAATAGATTCTAATTTACAATTGTATTTAACATAGACATTTGCATTTGATATGTATTTGCTTTTTTCATGATTGATTTTAATAAATGTATTCATTTTCTAATTTCCAAAGTCACTTGTAAAGTTGATAATTTTACATGTTCCCAGAAGTAATATATTTATCTACCGTACAAGTTTCCAATTAATTTGCTATAATGGGAATTGGGAAATTGTTGTTCTTGATAAATGAATCGATAAAGTTAGAATATTTTTGAGAAATTGATGTGGAGTGTCGGGTTAATTAGAGAAAAAGAAGAAATTGATGATGTGATTGGCATTGAATTTGGAGTTATTTGGGGACTCAGTTTTGAAAGTGATGGTAGTAATTCTAAAAAAAAAAAAAAAAAAAAAACATGTTGAAAAGTGAGGTTTAACTTTGTGTGGCTGATTTCATTTTTGGGTGTTTGTTGCTTATTGGAGTGACTTGCATGTATTTTTGAGTAAAATGACTGAGATGAAATCACTGTACAACGATCTAGAGGTCATCTCCTCTCTTTTTATGGTGTATTCTGTGTTCATTAACAAGTTTTGATTCGATTTGGTTAGGGATAGGAAATTTTTATGTTGTTACCCTTTTCCTTCCTGCAATTTATCTGGCCCCTTATTTCAGTGTAATAGAAAATTTTCATACTCTAATGATAATCATATCAGGAAACTATAGATTGGTAAGAAATTTGCCTATGATACTATGAATGAAGAAGGTGAGATATTGAGAATGTTGTATTTGAAGAACTTATTCAAATTAGGCTTTGACATAGTTAATTTTGCAATACTTTAGGTTATTAGCCATGCAGAGTTTTTAAATAGATTTTAATGGTACTTCAGTGTCGAAAAATCCAAAAGATGTTGAAACAACTCCTCGTATACTGTTGATTGACGGGTATGGTCCTAATTGTGTGTCAGTGTTGCCAGTTTGTTGATAAAAATGTTTTCCTTTTCTTTTTTACGCAGAAAGAGCTAGATGGGATACTGAGGGACTATGTGGGGAGAGAAACTCCTCTCTACTTTGCAGAACGCCTTACTGAGCATTACAAGCTTGTTAATGGTCAAGGGCCTGACATATACCTGAAGAGGGAAGATTTGAACCACACTGGTGCTCATAAAATCAATAATGCTATTGGTCAAGCTTTGCTTGCCAAAAAATTAGGAAAGAAACGTATCATTGCTGAAACTGGAGCTGGTCAACATGGAGTTGCAACTGCTACTGTATGTGCACGGTTTGGGTTACAATGTATTATTTACATGGGAGCACAAGACATGGAAAGACAAGCTTTGAATGTTTTCCGAATGCGTCTTCTTGGTGCTGAGGTCTGTTATCATTTGTATTAAATATCCTCCCCTCTTCTCTTGCATTTTTGTTGTTTTAAAGTGATAAAACTCTACAGAATTTTGGCTGCAATGGCCTTGCCATACCTGTTATGTATTTATTTTTTGTGTGGCTGTGCAAATTTTCTCTGAATGATACTGCAAGATGTTTATTGGCTTCTGATTTATGGGAATCTGACTTGGCCTTTGTACAAGATATACTGTCATACTAAACTGCCCTGCTAAATTGTGAAACTCATAAATCTCTTAATTTATTGGTATGTAGGTTAGACCTGTCCATTCTGGCACGGCTACTCTGAAGGATGCTACATCTGAAGCTATAAGGGATTGGGTGACAAATGTGGAGACAACACATTATATATTAGGGTCTGTTGCTGGCCCGCATCCATACCCCATGATGGTCAGAGACTTCCATGCTGTCATTGGTAAAGAAACTAGGCAACAAGCATTAGAGAAATGGGGTGGCAAGCCAGATGTGCTGGTTGCATGTGTTGGAGGAGGTTCAAATGCCATGGGTCTCTTCCATGAGTTTGTTGAGGACAAAGATGTTAGAATGATTGGTGTTGAAGCTGCTGGGTTTGGCTTAGATAGTGGCAAGCATGCGGCTACATTGACTAAAGGGGAGATTGGAGTGTTGCATGGAGCAATGAGCTATCTGTTGCAGGATGATGATGGGCAGATAATAGAACCTCATTCCATTAGTGCAGGGTATGTCATTTGTTGCTCACCTGAAAAGATTGGATGTAATTTACTATGTGCTTTGTGATATCGATTGATACTTTTATACCAATTTAAATTACTTAATTGATATTGCTATTAATTCTTGACCTCTCTTCCCAACATCAGCTTGGACTATCCTGGAGTTGGTCCTGAGCATAGCTATCTGAAAGACTTGGGACGTGCTGAGTACTTTAGTGTAACTGATGAAGAGGCATTGGAAGGTAATCTCTGTAATTTTTTGACGAAGATTGTGATCTAGAATTGCTCATCTACATGCTTATTTGATCTGTGTTTTATGATTTCCCCTTGAACTGTCTAAAGTTCTCTCTAGTTGTGATCAACCATTCACCATTTCCCATAACAGAAAAAGAGGTGTGTGTGGGGTTGAGGGGTGTTTTGAAGTAAAATATGGCTGACTTAGTTGTTGTTGCGAAGTTTATCTTCTTACCGCCATTTTAGAAATTAAGTTTGGTTTGAATTTTTTATTTATTATTAACTGGTTGGAGGTCATGACTAAGAAAAGATCTTTTGGTCTCACCTGTGATTAGAAATGAATTTTTTCTGTTGTTTCATTTAATTACCTACTATTCTCTGCCGACATTCACTGCTCAGAAACTACCTACATTTGAGTGAATTCAACTTCAGTCTAATTATAACCATCATCATTAACCTAATAAATTGACAACTTTATCTCCTGTCCAACTGCTTATTGTTGCATTTTAAATAATTGTGCGGTCTAAAGTGTCAAGGTTTACGGTATTTTGCTCTAATTGTCAATGACTTGTCTTGCTGTAGTAATTCATTTCAGCTATACTATGATATCCATTATAAGGCTTTCTGCATTTGCTGTCCTAACTCCCTTCCTGACTTTGGTATGTGTATTCAGCATTCAAGAGATTATCCCGACTTGAAGGCATTATTCCTGCTCTGGAGACATCTCATGCACTTGCCTTTTTGGAGCAGCTGTGTCCAACTCTTCCAAACGGAACTAAGGTTGTTCTCAACTGCAGTGGCAGAGGGGACAAGGATGTGCAAACTGCAATAAAGCATTTGAAGATATAATGTGATGTTGGACTTTATTTGAGAGAATAAATAAGTAATAAAGTTTTAGTCTTGTAGTTTGCGTCTTTTTTTCTAGTTTTGTATGCGCTAAGAACATTCAAATTTGGAGACTGCTGTTATTTGCAGCCAACATTGTATGAGGTCATAGTTGAAACAAGCAAATACTTAGGATACATATAAATTGGTTGTAGACCAGATTTACAATTCTACGGAGTTGTAGTGTAGAATTGTAGATTTGGATTATTGTCTTTACTTTGTGTCGTATGCAAAGAACATTCAATTTGGATAGTCAATAAACTCAATGTTGAACTGTAGATTACTATTCCGTATTCAAATTTGGACACACAGGTTGATAAAATGTATGAACTCAGCAAATTTAGAATTTACATTAGAGAGAGAAATAGAAGCTTAGAGAGAGAAGAGAGAGAGCTTTTGTTTTCATTATCAGAAAAGAAAATGATGATTGAATTGATTCTTACAATCTTCAATCCAACTTTATATATGGACTTAAAACAAAACAAACTTCTAGAAGAAAAGTTTGTTACAAAGAATAATTATGTAACAGAAATCTGTTATGACCATGGCTGAGCTGGCAATCCTTGCTGGCAATAATGAAGCGTACAGAGGAAGCTGCAGGATTAATCAGAAGATGAAATGTAATCTTCAACATCCCCCCACAAGCTAGGCATAGATTGAAGATCAATCAATCCTAGCTTGGAGCTTAGAAAGGAATGTTGAGGAGAAGACAGGGCTTTTGTGAACAAATCTGCAAGCTGGTCTTTTGTAGGAGTATATGTGAGCTCAAGCAATCCTTCCAGCACTTTTTCTCTAGTGAAATGACAGTCAATTTCGATATGCTTGGTCCTTTCATGCATAACAGGATTTTTACCAATCTGAATAGCAGATTGATTATCACAGCAAAGTTTAACAGGCTGCAAATCAACCACTCCAAGCTCTTGAAGTAATCTTACAAGCCAACATATCTCAGAGGTTGCTGCTGCCATTGCTCTGTACTCAGCTTCTGATGATGATTTAGACATTGTCCCTTACTTCTTAGATTTCTAGGTGACAAGTGAATTGCCTAAAAGCATCACATATCCTGTGACAGACTTTCTGCTTTCAGAACAGGAAGCCCAATCTGAGTCTGAATAAGCTTTTAAACAAAGTTGAGAATTAGCTTGCAGAAGAATTCCTTGACCAATTGTCCCTGCAATATATCTGAGCACATGATGCAGTGCTTGTACATGAGGGATTCTTTGCTGGCTCATAAACTGACTGAGAGTTTGCACTGCATAAGATAGGTCAGGCCTGGTATGGGTTAAGAAATTTAATTTCCCAACAAGACTCTTGTACAACACAGGATCATGGAAATGATCACCATGATCAGAAGTGAGCTTCAAATGAACAGGCAGGGGTGTTTTAGCAGATTTAGATAAATCCATACCTGGAGAAGTTCCTTTGAGAACTTTTTCTGAGTGAGAATTATACTCTGCTTTTTATGTGACACTTCAATACCCAGAAAGTAATGCAGTTCTCCAAGATCCTTGATGCTAAAAACCTTATGCAAATGATTCTTCAAGGTTGTAATTACTCCAAGATCTGTGCCTGTGAGAATAATATCATCTACATAGACTGCAGCTATGATGAAAGCTGTTGAAGTCTGGTAAATGAACAAAGACGGGTCATTTTTAGCCTGAATAAAACCCTGTTTATGCAATTCTTCATTGAGCCTTGCAAACCACTGTCTTGATGCCCTTTTCAGGCCATAGAGAGACCTTTTTAACTTGCATACCAAGTTATTAGGATTAGGGATCCCTTTTGGCATTCTCATGTAAACTTCTTCTACTAGTTTCCCATGCAGAAATGCATTATTAATGTCCAGTTGATACAAAACCCAGCCTTTACTAGCAGCTAAAGCCAACAAACATCTCATTGTTGCCATTTTGGCTACAGGTGAGAAAGTCTCATCATAATCAATGCCAAAAACTTGAGTGTATCCTTTGGCAACAAGTCTAGCCTTATATCTCTCTATACTCCCATCTGCTTTGAGTTTCACTTTGAAGACCCATTTACAACCTATATCCCTTTAGGCAAAGGAACCATTTCCCAAGTATTATTATTTTCCAATGCTGCAATTTCTGCTTTCATAGCCTCAACCCAGGAAGGGTCCTGAGAAGCCTCCAGATAACTACTAGGTTCTGAAATACTAGCTATGCAGGCAATTTGAGCTTGTAAAGTAGCAGGAATATCATGAAAAAGAACAACATTACACCAATGATGTGTAATATAAGGTGCTGTGACATAATATTTCATCCAAATGGGAGGCTTATGTGGTCTAGAAGATGATCTGGATTCAGGTAAAATTTCTGTGTTTGGGATAGAAATTGTGTTTGTGGGAGTAGGATCAGGATTTGGTATAGGGGAAGAAGAAGGTGAAGGATTAGAAGAGTTGGTTGATGCTGGAGAGGGTGGTGGTGTATTGTCAAGGATAACAGGTTCTGGTGGATCAGGGAAGACATAATCATCAACATTTGTATTTGTAGGAAGAAAAATAGGTCTTGGTGAGTTTAAAGTAGAAGGGTTAAGATAAGGTAGGTGTTTTTCATGAAATTGAACATCTCTTGAAACATAGATCTTTCTTGAATTTAAATCCATAACTTTATACCCTTTCTGATCAGGTGGATACCCCAAAAACAAACAAGAAGTTGTCCTGGGATCAAATTTGCTCTCGTGTGCCTTCAAAGTTGACACATAGCATAGGCATCCAAATACCCTTAAATGTTCCAGATTTGGCTTATGACCATATAGTTTCTGATAGGGTGTAAGAAATCCAATAGAACTCAGAGGCATTCTATTTATCAACTGAGTAGCACACAATAAACACTTACCCCAAAGAGATATAGGCACATTAGACTGAAAGAACAAAGCTCTGGCAGTTTCTGAAATGCCTGCGCTTTCTTTCCACAACACCATTCTGTTGTGGTGTATCAGGACAGCTTTTATGATGAATTATCCCATGTTTGAGATAGAACTGCAGAATTTGTCCCTCACACAGTTCCTTAGCATTGTCTGTTCTAATGCATTTAATTTGTGCATTGAACTGAGTATGAACCATAGTGGCAAAATGCTTAACAATATGCACATCATCATTCTTATTTTTCATCAAAAAAAGTCCAGGTATGTCTGGAAAAGTCATCAACTATTGTCAAGAAGAAATTACACTTATCATGAGTTTGCACCTTATAAGGTCCCCAAGTGTCTATATGTACCAACTCAAAACAATGAGAAGTACTTATGTTACTAGAATAGAAAGGTAATCTAGACTGTCTTGTCTGAGGACAAACATGACAAATGAAATCAGAACAAGGAGAACAGGACACATTGTTCTGCACATGATGTATTTTAGTGAAAGGCAAGTGCCCTAGTCTAAGGTACCATCGCTTGGCTTCATCAATGTTTGTCACCAAAGCTGATTGTGAATTGATATCCTTATTATGAAGCAAAGACTTATTTCCTTCATCAACAACATATAATCCTGATTCCAATCTACCAAGAACTAGGGAATTGTTCTGAGAATGTCCCTGAATCAGGCATGTATCAGGTGTGAAAGTAATCAAGTTAAAAGACAAATCAAGCACATGTAAAACATTTTTTAGCAGAATGCCATTCTCAAATCTGATTGTTCCTATGTGTTCAACCCTAGCATGTTTACCATTGGCTACAGTAATGGTATTAGGCAGCTTAGTGAAAATTTCATAAGAATCAAAGAGATCAATATTAGAGCAGATATGATCAGTTGCACCACTATCTACTATCCATTTAGAACTAGATCAAGATAGTAAACAAGTACCTGCCACATTGGCTGAGCTGACAGGTGAATACACAAGATTCTGTGCATTCTCAGGAACAGAAGAAGAGCTCTGAATGTTCATGTACTGCATCATTTTGCTGTACTTAGTAGTTGAAATATGAGCAGTCTCAAAAGAAGAAGAATCATCATTCTCAATATCATCACCATAGACTATAGCTGCAATTTTCCTTCCTTTGCCTTTGTATCCTAACTGAACATAATTAGGATAGCCATGTATTTTGAAGCATCTATCAATTGTGTGACCAGACATTTTACAATGATCACAAAAGTAAGCTGAAGGCCTTCTAGCTGATTGAACACTTGTACCTCTTCCAGCTCCTTAGTTAGAAAATCCAGAATTTTGAGAACCAAAATTCTTCTAATAAGAATTAAGAACTGGTGGTCTGTAACTCATGCCTCTCTGCTGATAGTTTCTATTTTCAGCAGAAAATGCCATTGAATTAAAAGCATTAGCAGATTCAGATGAATTGTTGAATTCTCTTTGTTTTTCCTCCTGAATAAGAAGTTTGTAGGCCAAAGAAATATTAGGTAATGGCTGCATCATAAGCAAATTGCTCCTGACATTGGCATATCTACCATCAAGCTTCATTAATAGCTGGATCAACCGTTCCTCCTGTTGTTGCTGAAGAATTTTCTGAGTGAGATTGCAAGTGCAACCAGAACAAGTACATACAGGTATAGGATTAACACCATTAATTTCATCCCAAATACCTTTAATTCGAGTGAAAAACTCAGCTATAGATGTATTTCCTTGAGCTAAATCATGAAGAGATTGCTGGAGAGTATACAATTGAGGCCCAGAACTCTGCGAATAACGATCCTCTAGATCCTTCCATACCTCCCTAGCAGTAGTGAAGTAGATCACACTTCTAGCAATTGTTGTATCTAGAAATCTCAGGATGTAAGAAATGATCATAGCATTACACATTTCCCAAGCATGAAATGCAGAATCAGTAGCAGGAGGCCGAGGTAATGATCCATCAATAAATGCAAGTTTATTCTTAGCTGCAAAAGCAATCATCATACTTCTCCACCATTCGTTGTAACAATCACCAGAAAATTTCTCAGAAACCAGAGGAATCGAAGGATTCTCTGAAGGATGAAGAAAATAAACACTAGAAGGATCTTGAATAAGAGACAACGGTGGATTCAAATTTGCCGCCATGAATGAAAGCTCGAGAAATCAAACAGAAGAAATCAAATGAAAAACCACCAAAAAATTACAGAATAATGCGGAAAACAACAATCAACAACAATCAGAAATCAGAAATCAAGATCGATTGCTCTGATACCATGATAAAATGTATGAACTCAGCAAATTTAGAATTTACAGTAGAGAGAGAAATAGAAGTTTAGAGAGAGAAGAGAAAGAGCTTTTGTTTTCATTATCAGAAGAAAAGAAAATGATGATTGAATTGATTCTTACAATCTTCAATCCAACTATATATATGGACTTAAAACAAAACAAACTTCTAGAAGAAAAGTTTGTTACAAAGAATAATTCTGTAACAGAAATCTGTTATGACCATGGCTGAGCTAGCAATCCTTGCTGGCAATAAAGAAGCGTACAGAGGAAGTTGCAGGATTAATCAGAAGATGAAATGTAATCATCTTCAACACAGGTTTTTATGTATAAATTACAATTTTGTAACATTATTTATATTTCCTCCGCTTTCAAACATTTGCTTCAATATGTATTCTTTTGCAGGAAAAGGTAGGCTTTGTTACAAGGACTGAAACTATTACATCAGAATTCCTCGGAGGATGGCTTCCATCAGGCCAAACCTCACGCCAATGCTAGTCAACGTCTGTCACCCCAATGCTAAGCGATGAGTGACTTTGTAAAACTTCAAATGAAAAAAGGGATAGAAAACTAAGTTGTTTGGTTGTCTTGAGTTTCCATAGGATAAAAAAGCCTTTTTTTTTTTTTTTTTTTTTTTTTTTTTGCGCAAGTGGGTAAATAGTTTAAGGACAGTTATGCCCTTATTAGAGTCATGGATGACTCTAGGAGGGTGTTTGTTTAGGGGGGGGATAAAAAGGGAGGGATAAGAATAAAAGATGAGGATAGAAGATAAATAGTATTGGTTTCGAGGGATGGGGATTAAAAGGGGGTTGAGGATTGGGATAAAAACACCCTCTTATCTCTCCATTTCTATAACTAAGAGGGGTGGTATAAGGAGAAGGGATAAGGGAAAGGGTAGAAGTTAGTAAAAGTATTATTATTATTTTATTATTTATCCCTAATTTATTTCTCATACTTACCAAACATGATATAAAAATTATTCAATTCCCTAACTTTATCCTCCCTCCTTATCCCTCTTATTCCTATCCCTCCAACCAAATGCCCCGTAATTGCCAGAGTCCTACATTCACAATTCCTAGTACTACGTATTTACAAAATCCCACATGACAAGTTGACAACCAAACACAATTGTGTACTTAGGAATTTTTATAAAGAAAGCAATTTTCCATGTATTAGAATTTTCCATGAGAATATATTTCCTACATCAACCAAACAAGGCCTAAAACTAAAGCAATTAACATACCTTCATGTTTCCTTTTAACTATTTATTTTCCTTACATTTATAAGCAGCAAAAAATTTAATCACGCAGGATTTTAAAAAATTACCTTTTAACTATTTAATTTGGAGTATTTGTTTTGTATTATTTGCAACTTTTGAATCATTTAATACAAATGATAACAGACCTCAGCACCAAGAAGACGCATTTGGAAAACTTAATACAAATCCTTTATTAAGCCACCTTTTTTTTTTTTTTTGAAAGACTTTATTAAGCCACCTAGTATGTACCAAGTCTTCTAAAAGAGAGATTTAACCCTACAATTTCATTTGAACAAGGATAAAAATTACTACATATAAGAATAAATTACTAGACAGTAGGCACCATGAACGGAAACTAAAACGCAAGAATGTACTCCGTAACTACTAATCTGGAAACAAAATATACTCATCTCTATTACGAAGAATCATTCATGTACGATACACAATAGTCTAGCAATCAATCCGAACATCTCTTTGAAGGTACTCATAAGTCATAACACAACAGAACAGAATTTACCGGGAAAAAACGCATAAAATACATAAAATCAGTATACTGGGCACTTTTGCACCAAAAGACAGACGGAGGTTTTCAAACTTGTTTTATTTGAAACTTCAAAGATCTTTCATGGGCCACACAAAGGCAGATAAAATTTATCCGCCTCGTCTCCATGCTACGGACGGTTGTGTATGATTATTATAAAAATCCTACGGACGGAGGTACTATCTTATTATCTACAACATGTAAACCAGCCATGCCATGCCAATCCAACCTTATCAAAATCCAGTGGCCTTAAATTCCTGGAAGAAAATATTCAACTTCCACACCACCTAATACCTCTGCTCTTGTAAACACTTTAGCTCTACATTCAACTCGGATATCTTGATTCCTTATTGCTTAGCCTGCAGGATACGAAAGGGTTTACAATTAGTTACAAGTGCCAACCAATTCAAAAGTCGATGTGTTTTGAAAAGGATATCTTTGGAAAATCGGAGCAAAATGGAATTAGTCCTGCATCTAGTGAAAGCTAACAAATGAGAAGTTCAGCATTACGAAAGAAGAAACCATCTCAACATCAAGAAGAAGACACCAGCATAACATTTCTAAAGACGCAAGAGACTAATCAAAAAAGCTAGTTCATTTTCCAGGGATCGATAATTCCATGGTTACTGCTAGCAGTTTATGTGCAATACTTATTGCACTGCTGGGCAGTTTCGTGTCTCAAAGCATGCTTAGGGTGTCAACTACCGTATTGAAAAGCAGTTCCTGCCTATGTGACTCAAGGTAAATCTGATGAACCAAAGCATTCTTATGATATTTATTCAGCCAATCCTTTGCAACAACCAATATTAAATTTTGATGCTAACAACACCACCTGAGTCATGATGGCATTACTGCCATCATCATGCAACTAATGCCACAAGAATCAGTTGACTAACTAACAGAAATTAATTATATAAAAAGTGTGAAGCAACACGCGACTCTTATATGCAGAAAATAGATGAAGCATAACAAAGAAAAAATTACTGTAAAATTTGAAGCAGCCCAACAAATAAAATAAAAAAGTAGGCCAGTCATTTTTTCAAGGTAGACAAGGGATTTGCAAGCAAATTTTAACATCAGACAATCAGACCCACTCACACTAATGTGATTGAGGTACAAGTGCAAAATATTAATAAGCCATCGACTAGCGACTTTAAGGATTCACACTTATTTCATCTCATTTAAATAACAATAGTTAGAGCTAGCTTTAGGACTGATGTTTAGACTTCTTCCATTACAGGTAGCATCTCAGGTAAGGCTTATGTGAGATGTGGGAACACGAGCTTGGGTTAGCTTAACAGATAAAAATTGTTCATCGTAGCATGCAGAGAAGATAGGATAGTTTTAGGAGTGGATTACACAAAAGATAGAAAAAAAAAAAAAAAGAGCTTCAATGATTCACTAGATGTTCAAATTCACAGACTGCCACTCTGCCAAACAGAATTGATCACATAGGAAGAAATATTCACTTTTAATAACTAGGACTTGGGTCTCAGAACCTTCTCTTAAATAACAAAAATACAAGGAAACTACGAAGTTTGTCATTAAAGATAATCATATTGAACTATTATAACTATTTCATTTCAAATCCAAGTGGACCAAGTCTACTTTTTGGGGAAGATACCGAGTTCAAATTCGGAATATAAAGCACATGCAGAGTATTAGATGTCTAAAGCTTCTTATCGAAGAATATAAAACACTTACGCCTGGAACTAGATGAGAAAGACAACATCTATGAATTTGAAGATTCATATACTTGTCTATGTTTATAATATATCCTTATTTAGCAATCAGTCTCAATTCTGAACTGCAGCTATCGCTTTTTTTTTTTTTTTTTTTTTTTTGAATCGTCAAGATCTCCAAATTATGCCTCTTAACTATTGATCTTTCTCTGCAATGGCGGACAACCATGGAAAAAACCAAGAGTTTTTTAACGGGGAGGGATTCAGAGAATCATCACTACATAAGAGATGACAGCTTGCCTATCCTCATTTTTTTGGCACATAAAATAAAACATGCAGGAAATATCTAGCAGCCAATTAAGCTTCAATGGCACTATGTAAGTAATAAGTTAGTATTTGATTCAGGGAACAAGGGCCGAACGAGAGGGGTTCAGAATCAGAGTTAAGAATATAATAGGAGATAAGAGCATCTAGGGCTTTGGACCATATCTAAATTGCAGTTTTGATGCTCATTTAAATAGCAAGTTTTGGTATGTTTAGATTTAAAATTAAAATCTTTGCTTTTGTTTAGAGGATTACTAAGGTTCAGCTGTATGTGGGCTTCAAAGTGGATAAAATTTATCTTGATACAACATAAAAGGAAGCTGAGACTGTCTTAAGGCATTTCCTAACTCAAAACCGTAGTATCATTAAATTCAGAAGAACTACCTTCTCAATGAGTTAATATCATAAAATCACCAAACATAGTAGTAGGCACAATAGCCCGATAGGCAGAACATGGTTAAAACAGTACTTAATTACTAGAGGTTATTTTTGTTGTAGGGAGCGGAAAGAGAGAAGATGGGGGGAGGGGGGGGCGGCCTTTTAGACCTGTCTTCCACATGCTCAGATCAGTAATTAGTACGATCATCAGTTCATATTATTTCAAGAAAGTCATACTGTTTCTGGACATCTAAATGTAATATGCAACTATTATGACAGGATGGAGGGAGTAATTTGATTTATCAAGCTCAGAAAAACCAGCATAATTTCATTAAGAAAGGCCTTAAATCAGAATGTCAAAGAGACAACTCAAAAAGCTTGCAAAATCATCATAATGATATAACCACAAACAAACAACATTTTTATCAAGATCACAGACACTTACCTGAGAATACAAGAAGGTCCCGAATATAGCAATGGCAGCTCCAAGTGCATTTACAGGCTGGACAGGTGTTCGGAAAATGATGATGGAGGAGACAATGACAGATATACGCTTCATTGTGTTCCCTATGCTAAACGTCAAAGGAGAAATTTCATCCAGTGACATGTATGATACTTGATTATAGAGGTGATAAAACACACTTTGGGCGGCCACCCACCTATAGCAAAATCAACAATAACATATTGTTATTAAATGGATGACAAAATCGTTAAATATTTGGAACAAAAATGTAATTAATGTAGCAACACACGGGTATTGTGTAAGACTCAATGGACAAGATCCTACTAATAAGGACAAAACCAAAATATAAAAAGTATGAAATCTAGGAAGTTATATGGTTTAAGTTGGAAATTTTACCAACTCGGGCAAGAACTTTACATGTTTACACTTTAGATATTAATATGAAGTGATTGAAGTCTTCTAATTGAAGTGAAAATTTACAGGTCAAGATACCTCTAAACAGCCTCAACTGAGTAGATAATATGGAGGGAGCGATTACAGAACTCTTTTGTCCATCTTCTGGATATTTTACCAGGACAGGTAGAAATCTGTAGTGGGAAAAACCAGTGCAACCACAAGGTCTACACAGTCCTTGTACTTGATTAGGATATAAATTAATAGTGCCAAGATGTTGAGACAAAGGCAAACCATGCTGACAACTAAATTCCACTGTATTTACACCAATCAATTCTTATGTGCAAAAAAATTAAGATACAATACAAAATATTGTTTCTAATTACAAGAAGAGCAACAAGACAAACAGAGATCCATATCACATACAGAACCAATAGGAACCACACGGAAAACATAAGGGGAAAATCATCGGGAGTAAATAAATTACCAAATAAAGTTGGGTCCAATTTGAGAAACAGCCTTCTCCCATCCAGCAGCCCACATTTGGGGTCCCTCCACGGCGATTGCAAATGGAGTGAGAAGTACAAGAGAGAGAATTGACAGACAAGCGTAGTAGTTCATCCCACTGACAGACTTCCCTTTCATGCCTTTCTTGGAAAATATGTTGCGGAAGACAAATGCCAAATTTGATATCATCGCTCCCATAAAACCTGAATGGAACAAACACATACCAAACTTAGCATTAAGAAAACAACAGAATAGACATCAAAGTGGAAGCCCCTGGCCAACACAAAACTAACAGGTCTAAGTAGAGAACTTCCAAATGCTTGGAATTATGTGTAGACTTGGAAGAAGGAAAAGGTACATTCTATTAAATAGTTCCCTCAGGTGTTTTATTTTCAAGAGTCGCTTATATTTTCATATTTCTAATGTGCAAACACAACATTAGATGTGTGTTCCAAGGGTTGAGACACTATTCTTCAGATTGGGATTATGTAAAAAGCACACAAATTACAGCTATTATTGAATCCGCTGTATGTTAAGAGGCCCAAAAGGCCAGACATGAGTAAATCTGAATAGCTCACGTATTCGAATAAGCTAATTGCTTAAATTGGAATGAAGAACAAGTAAACCCAAATACCATCCTCTCATGAGAGTAATGAGACTCATTCACCATATTAATGTTGACCATTTCAGTATGACCCAAAAATGAGGATTACAAATGAACAAACTTGACCCTTATAGAAATCATGTTGTTTTCTTCTCTCCTTACCAATCATGTTGAAGTTAAGCTCAGTGACAGCTGCAAGCGCGCAACCTCCAATGATGGGAAGCAGTGACAAGTACACTCCTGTTGGAAAGGACTCGCCTAACAAGAATCTTGAGACTACAACACTGAAAGCAGGTTCAGCACTCTTAATTATGTGTGTAAATGAAACCGCGACCTTTGACATGCTGACAGTGGCGGCTACATGTCCAATTGTATGTGCCACAGCAACCTATCAAAATTTGATACAATGAGAAGTCAACAACCAAACCTGGGGACCAAACAGAAATTCTAAGACAGACAGCAACTTCTATCTAAGAAACAAACTAGGTTGTTCTACAACAAATAAGAAGACAAAAATCAAACTGAAATTGTCTTCATTAAACAGCATCAAATTCCAAATTACACTAGAACATTTCAACATTATCAAACAAACAATTCAGCACTTTATGATAGCTACTTTTTTTTTTTCATCAACCACCAACTCATACACAAACCAAACATGTTTCTCATTCAATAAATAAAACAAGAGAGCTGCAACACCATTAATTCAACTTAAGCAGCTACAACACACAAAATTAGAACTTGCATAAATTCCAAATTTTGACCTCTTATATTATTCATTAACTAATTGGAATAACTTAGGATCAACATTATTCATAATAGCAATCAACTAATAATCAAAACAGTAACAAATAAAAAGTTGAAAACCCACATACTAAAAAAACATTTTATTTGAGCTACTCAATTTTTTAGGGGTTATAACAACAAAAATTACACCTTTCAATTTAGGGGTTATACCAACAAATATTACAGCTTTCAAATATAATAATACTAAAAAAAAAAAACAGCAAACTTAATTCAAAGAATAACAACTTACAGGAAGAAGTGCCTTCCAAAAATCAATATCAGTAGAAGGAGCCTCAGCAACCCTAGTTGCCCAAGACACCAACATAATCAAAGAACCCATAGCAAGGGACAAAGTGGAGGTTAACCAAGGGTATGGAAATGCATTCAAAACCTTTTTGTTGTAAATATTAAATACAACATTCAAAGCCCACCATGTTGCAAAGTAAATTCCAATTTTAACCTTCCTAGCAGCTTCACCAGGAAGCTCTACTACTTCATCATCAATGGGTTCTGATCGATCTGCTTCATATGCTTCACACTTGATCACAGATTTTCTCTCCCTCAAAAACCCATTACCAAAACCTAGCCCCTTTACATCAAAATTTGAAAATTTTAGGGGTTTTTGGATCAAAAGATCGGATTTTCGACAAATTTTTGGGGAAAAATTGGCAATTTGGCATGTGGGTATTTGAGATTTTTGCCTCAAAACATTGGGATTTGTGAAAGAAATTGTGGGCTGTTTCAAATTAGTTATCATCATCTCTTCCAAAGATCAAAACTTTTTTTCTTAATTTTGATCAAAAAATGAAATTCGAAGAGTTTGGTGGCTATTAAAAAAAAGAGAAGAACAAGAACAACCCCTTTTGAAGAAAGTAGGTACTAAAGAGAAGAAATCTTTGTATGGTAGGTGATGATAATATAGTAGAAATTATAATAAAGTTGAAAGATATAATACTCAAAAAGCATAGGCTAAATTTATTTGATGATGGTAGGAAAATTAGAACTTTAAATAGCACTATAAGAATTAGTCAAGAAAATAATTACGGAATTTATGGTAAAAATAGGTGGGTTTTTAAGGGTTGTCAAGGAATTTTTAGTGGTAAAATTTAAGACAGAGAGATATTCAGATCTAAACAAGTTTAGTGAAGTTGAGATTACAGACCAAAGTACCAAAAAAACGCAATTGGAGAAGACTTAGGTGGCAATGGGGTAGGTTGTGTTGGGAGTTGGGAAGAAATTTTAATTTGCGTTTAACTAATTTTAATTACTACGGAGTATATGTCTATTGTACGTACTTGATCATTTCATGTCAATTTTTTTTTTTTTTTTGAAAAACCTTTCATGTCAATTATTTTAAATTGATATGAATTTACATTCTTACTATTTTTTTTTTAAAAAAATGAATTAGGTGCATAAAGTATCTTTTCATAGAAGTAAAATGCTAATAGAGAATTGAAATGCTAGTATATGGTCGATGAGGGTTAGGAAGTGTTTTATTTACCTGATTTTCACTTATCTGAATTTAAATGAGTTTATCTAAACTGAACCTAACTTATTTGGATTTATCGGAACGTATTTAAACTTATTTTTCTTGAACTTATCTAAACTAATTTTTCCCTAAACTGAAATTATCCTTATTTGAACTTAAAAAGAACTTAAACTTGTCTAAACTTATAAGACATGAAAAAAGGTGAATATAACAGACTCTTATACACTTAGGGCAAGTTCACATTTACTTAATTTCAATCCAGTTCAGTTCAACTCAGCTCCAATCAATTCAGTCCAGTTCAGCTCCTATCAGTTCAAGATAATTTAAAAAGTCAGGAAAAGAACGAAATATAGTGGAAGTAGAATATTTGAATTAGATTAGAATATTAATCATAAGAAGGGCAGATTAGGACTTAGGAGGCTGTCCTTGACCAAAAGGGCAAAGTCACCGTTATTAATATGATGCTGGACCTTAAAAGCCGTTATTAATATGATGCTGGACCTTAAAAGCATATTCGGTAGCCGACTCCAATATGATTCATCCGAATTTGAAGAAAAAATTCAAATGAATGTTGTGCTAACTCTGAATCAACTTCAACTTATATAAGTGGTAGCTTTAGTTAATTATTGTTGTTAATAAAGGACAAGCCAAAAATATAATAATAGGAGACCCTTATCACGAGAGAAACACCTAATATATCGGAAAAAATAATTAAATGTAACAAAGGTTATTACACATAAACTTTCCTAAAATAGAAATCAATTTTTTTTTTTTTTTTTTTGGGTTTTTGATGAGAGTCGATTCCAAAATTTCTTAAAATCGGAATGGAAGCTCTAACCACTTAAATTGGTTAGATTTTCTAAAAAAGAGAGTAGTTGTCAGCTGTGAATTATCTATTTCCTCTCACAAAACACAATTTTTTAAAAGTTCATATACCTTGTATTTTTCCATAAGCTCCAAGTGAGGAGAGTGAATATCCTTATTGTGTATCTATGATCTTTAACTTATTATGGCTTGATAGTTTCATGTATATTAATGATATTCGTAAGTATTGGAGAGGGGAGACATTATACTTCGTATATCTCTATTTTGTATCTAGTCATGCTTTGCCAGGAATGTGCTAAAATTTGATTGAACGGGAAGGGAATATTTCATCTAATGTTTTATAAATTGGAACTATATTTTACTTCGTATATTTTTATTTATTTTTGACATCAGCGATGTTGTATATTTTTGAAGCATCAACATTTCATGATTTTACTCACGTGAAAGTTAAATTCTTGTAATTTCAATTTGCAGGTAATTTTTTTTATGTGTGAGAAAAAGGGGTCATTAATGCACTGGTAATCTACGTATCACATGAAATGAAATATTGCAGTAGCGCTAACAATTGAATGATGGAAGTGTATGCACAATACATTATATATCCGATGAATACAAAGCATAAAGTCAAAGAACCTAACGAATAAAACAAAAGAGCATAAACTCCAATGAGCATTTCCCTTAAAAAAAAAATTAAAAAAATTAAAAAAAATTTTTTTTAACAACATACCTATAATCCTTTTATTTTTTTTGAAAAAAATCATACCTATAATTCTTATGTTCTTGTTCATTAGTCAGTTTTCATATTCTTTGGTTTTTGGCTTGATATTCAATGGATGCATAGTGAGCACTATTCACACATCCACCTCATAATAATCACAATTTTTTGTTTTTTTTTGAAAAAAAATATAATAACAAGTTTTAATCATACGCATTTGTGTATTCTTGGTCAAATGTTAGTCTGAATAACAAATAATCAAGCATTTTGTAACAATAATCCAAATCTAATGAACTTACTGATTTTGTTGTAGGCCCGACTTTTATAAGTTGAACTCTTTATTAGTTAACAGATCCAACAAAAGTTGGGTGCCTTGTGTCTGCTTGAAGTTTCATTGATTTCTTTTGACTCCATTCCTTGCTTGTTGTTTGACAGATTGAAGTTGGAAGAGCATAAGAATATAGAGTACTCGTATAATGTATCAAATACCATATCAAAGAATCAATACAATTCACTCAGGACACAAATTTTGCACCAACAAATATGGCATCAGACCATTTCCTATTGTCATAATTTCCGTAAACTATTTAAAGTGATACACGAATGTTAATAATACCAAAACAAACTATTATGACTGGTATTAGTCCAGCTTCAATGCAATACAATCTCCTATGCCTAACTACAAGATACTTAAGCAGTCACTGCCCACCGCCCTGCTCCATGAGGTTCTGCAGCTATGTAAATTTGGTTTTGCGGCTAAACTTTGAACTAGTTGCCCCAGGTGTGGAGGCTGAGCAATTTGGTCCAAGTCTCAAATTAGACATTCAAAGTCTTTTAAAGCGCTTATTTTTATTATTTCCAGAAGATTCATGCCTCTGTTCTGACAAATGCCTCTTTTCCTTGGCTCGCTTTAGAGTAAACTTGCCCTTTATCTTCCACTTCTCGTTCCCACCAGGATGCTGATGCTCTTCAATTTCTCTCACCTTGCGCTTCCTGGGGAAAATAAGCATGTGTGTGCATCAGCAAACAGAGAAAGATCTCTAGTTTTGTGACATTCAAAAAAATATAGAGTAACATTTTTCATGACTTACCGGTACTGCGCAAGGGAACTGTCAGCAAGTAGCTCTTCAGCAATTCTATTCTTCCTCTCCTTCTTAGTGAGCCTAGCGGAGTAATAATCTGATGCTGACTCCACTACAGTACCCACCTACATTATTAACATGGTTAAAATAATAAATCAACAGCATCAGCTAAGATATAGACTGCAGTTTTTTTTGTATTAAGGGAATCAGGCTCAATGGCATCAATTCAGGGGATACGACATTTACCTGGAAATATTTGGGCAATGCCTTCAACTTCGTATCACCCTTCTTATAATGTCTTTTTGGATCAATGACATTCCTTAACTGCAAAGATTATTAAATTACTATCAATGTGAGAACTGTGAGTTTGATACACACCCAAATGGGTTAAAACACTGAAATTATAAATGTAAGAGAAGTGTTGACCAACAGCTGGTACAGAAAAATGGACACGTGCTACAGCCAACTAGTATTTAGAAACAACTATAGATTTACTACTAATTTAACGACTAACGACTAACATCATGGTAGACCTTCCTTCCCAATCCAAAACACCTTTATATTCAAAGCCAAAGGTGAACTGACTGATACACTTCTCAATACCAAAGCTTTGCAGCAAACTTTAATAGAACCAAGGCTCTGTTAAAGGAGTTTCTTGATAAGTTTATAGCTTATTCTTATTTATATTGCAATATTTTAGCAGAAAAACGATTCTTCATCTAGGTCATTGGAGATATAATGCGTGTACAGAAAGAGAAAAAGTGCACAAAAGTTACAACTGACATGCAAAACAGTAACAGAGTATTATGAGATGGGAAATTCCCTGTTTCTCACATTGAGAAACGATATTTGTTTCTCATGGGGTCATTTTCGTGAATAAATCAACAACTTTTTCATTATTGTGGGCTCCACAATTGAATAAAGTTGTTGGTTTATTTACGAAAATGCCATGCGAGAAACAATTTTGTTTCTCACTATGAGAAACTAGGACAACCCCGAGATGGGATTAACGGAATATATTCCTTGTTACATGTTTAATGTTCATCACAATATTAGATAATTATGGCAGGATATAGTTTTAAAATGTTAACAAAGCCTTTGAATAAAAAACAATATAGCAATCTTAAAACACATCTGTAATCATTGTAAGCCATCATTTTAACTCGTATTTTCTGAAAAGCATATGAAAAATTATTAATTGCAACTTACGGCTGATTTGAGCTTGCAACATAAAAAGTATAGATTTGTAGCTTTTTGTACCTCTTTCTAAGCAGCCTTGCAATATAAAGTTTTCTAATGATTATTAATTTTACCCTCCCCATGTTAAAAGAGGGCATTCAGATGACGGTATGACATACTACGAATTTCCACATGTAGCATGGCATTTGAGTTCCTTCTATTCACATAAGGAAACTCCACAAGATCATGGCTAAGACTTGGTTCAAGAAGCATGATCACCATTTGGCGACAGTTTAAACTTTAAAATAAAGAAATACAACAAAAATTGCCAAACTTTTGGCAAGGAGGACGGACTGAGGTAATTGTCTTGATATAAAGGTGTATTTGAAGAGTGTGTAGCTACTTAGTATAGACTCATAGCCCTCGGTGTATCAAATCAAGTTTAAGAATGAATAGACTCAAATATAAGTAAAGGATCTAACAGTGAAGGGCGCTTATCTTTTAAGGTTTCAATTGGGTTTTAGTCGACAGAATGGGTCAAGAAGCTAATAGGGAATACCAAGTAAATGCATCGACATAGTTAATTATCTGTTAATAAGTACGAAAGTTCTTTTATGGAAAAGTAACAATCATATAACAATTGGTTTACACTAATGATGTACACCAAGTTCATTCTTCTTTACATGGACGAACTAACAAGGTGAATCCAAAATGAGATACCTTTTTGTTAATTGTTTGTGGATAATATTGTACATTTGTATCGAAGAATGAGACTAAAGCTGGAGTTCATGCTAAATTGGAGAAAATGAGACAAAAGTTGAAATCTTGTCTTCCTCCAATCACTTCTATCTATTGCTACCAGCATGATCTTATTGTTATCTATTCTGAATGCAAACTTTATCTTCAACTAACTGGTAATAAGGCTTTGGTGTTACCGCACAGATTGTTGGACAAGAACCATTAACTCACTGATTGAAGAACTACAATTCCCAATTTCCGACCATTTTATATCTCGAAAGTCATAAGAGTAGAGACAAAAATA